TAGCGGGGAACTTAAGCATCTGATGTCAGGTAGAAGGGACCGTCGAGAAGGCTGACAGGAAGCCGCGTCCCAATATGGCATTGTAGGCGGAGGGACAGTCTGCTACGTGGAAGTCCATGAGGCGTGTCTTCATCACTTCTGGGCCCCCTATCGTCACCTTGAGTGTGATGGAACCAAGAACCCTGACTTTGGACCCGGAGAATCCTACCAGGCTGGTCGTGGATGGCTTAAAGTCCTGTAGTCCCCTCTTCATGGTCTTGATCGTGGAGTAAAACAGGATGTCTGCTGAGCTTCCGTAATCAACTAAGGCCCGGGTGACCTTAAACTTCTTCGTGCGGAAAGAGATGACCAGCGGGTCTTCTCCACATTCTTCGGGGGCCAGTTCCGAGGGTGCAAAACTGATCTCGACTTGTTCTTTCCTGTGCACGTTCATACATTGCACCAAGCGGTCCCCCTCTGTCCGAGGACGCTTATGTCCCCCAGCGATGGTGATTATTTCGACTCCCTCTTCCTCTTCTCGAGGCGGGTGTCGATGTGGAGGGGCGTGCCTTGGCGGCGGCGGAGGCAAATGCTCCCTACGGGGGGTTTGCTCCCTTCTTGGCGACCGGGATCTCCGACGTCTGGGCGTGTGGGACCTTCTCCTTGGGCTGGGTGAACTGTCCCTTTCCTCCGTTCTCTCCCTGGGGTGCGCCCGTGTGTCCAGGCGACTTTTCAGGTCTCCAGGTGCCAGGTACTTGAGGCTGGCTTTGAACTCACGGCACTCTGTGATGTCGTGAGTCGGCAACTGATGCCAGTCGCACCACTTTTGGTCGTCGTCCCTCCTTTGGCGGGGACGCGCTTCCCGGGTTTTGCCCCCGTCGCGGCGTCCGTCGTCCTCTTTCTCTGACGTGAACATCTCACGCCTTCCGTCCCTGTTGTTGAACCTGGGCTTGTAGTTTCGCTTCTGGGGTGTGCGCCCCCTTCGCTTTGGTGACCCGTTCCTTCCTTTTTCCGATTTGTTCGACGACGTTGGTGCCCCTTTTGCTCCCTCCTCGGCGTTGAGCGCTTCTTCCTAGAAGATGGCTTTTCGTACCACGCGGTCTAGATCTTGCCAAGATTTGATGTTGTGTTCTTTTTTGATGAGAGACCTCTTTAGTTCCCGGCTATGCGTCGACATTCTCAGGTTTCGGCGGCCACGCTGGTTGAGACGTCTTGGATCTCGCAAGCTATTGTATTCCATCGGTCGTAAAAGTCGGCCAAGCTTTCCTCTTCTCCTTGTTTGCAGTTGATGAGGGCAGAGACGGTGAGCTGCCTCCTGCGCTGAGAAGCAAACTTCAAGGAGAAAAGGGTAGCGAACTGTTCGAAGTTTTCGATTATCCCGGCTGGTAGGGACGCGTACCATCTTTGGCACTGCCCCCCGAAGGTGACTGGGAACGCCTTGCACAGATCGGCGTCTGATGCGTTAATCAGCTGCATCTTGAGCATGAATGCACTCAAGTGATCCGACGGATCTGAGTTTCCCGTATAGGCAGGGAGGCCAAGCGACGAGAAGTTTGATGGCACCTGGGTTTTGAAGAGGCTCTTCGCCAAGGGGTTGTGCAGCACGTTGTAGCCCTTGGGCTTCCCATAGCAGGGTCGCAAGTGTTCTTCGAGGAGGTCGAGGTGGACGCCGTCCGTGTCCTCCTCTCTGTCGGACTCTCCGTCTTCTATGCGGGGGGGGGGGGGGGGGGGGGGGGGGGCTGGGGGGCACTTCTCCGTCCACGCCCTTGCCCTTGCTCCCTCGCATCTTAGAACTCTCGGGCTCGTCTCTTGCTTTGAGCATGGTGAGAATCTGGGTCAAACTCTCTTGCATACTGGTGATCTGCTGCCCCTGGTCTCTCACGCGCTCTTCCATATCTTTTTCTTCTTCGACCGTGGGCATCTCCAAACCTCTGATGCTTTCCCCGCCAATGACGTCCTTCACGGGAGTTCTGAAGTTCCCCTCCATCTTTCGATTCAAACGCTCCGCTCCGGCCTCACGGTGGGCGCCAAATTGTTTGTGCCTAGTAGATACTAGGCGGTTTGTGGAGCTGGGGCGAGGCGCCTGTTCTTGGATGTTGGGGAGTACTCCTGATACTCTGCAAAACAGCGGTCCAGGGCGGTTCGCCCGGGACACTCTCCGAAGCTTAAGTTAGAGAGAGAAGGGGAGAGATAAGAACTTATGTAGAGAGATGAATAGTAGTTGGCATTACCATTAATGCACTCACCCTCTATTTATACCTGGTTAAAGGGTGGTTGGGGCATTAAATGCTGTGTCGGGCGCCCCAGACCTGGTCGGGCGCCCCGTGTAGGCTTTTTGGGTAATGTCAGGCGTCCTGGGCAGCCTTTCAGCCTTTTTGCAGGCCGCCTGTGACTGGCAATAAATGCTCAGTCTTGCCTGACACCAGATACACATCTTCAACGGCTCCCTGCTCTTCTGTGCTGCTCAGTTGCTTTATGTCAGGCGCCCTTATCTATTCCTCGGGTTCGCAGTCGATCATGGACCGCCTGCTGACCCAGTCTTCCGATCGAGCCCGACCTCCTTATTGGGCCTTAAAGTCCGACTCGCCTCTTTTGGGCCCGAGGCCCAAGTACGCTCAACTATGCGGCCCAACAGTATCAGTATTGAAAGTCCTACTAATTCAAGGTATAGATAGTGTTTTCATACTCAAGGTATGCGGTATCCCAGATTTCACCCAGGGTACGTTCACACCTATTTTTTGTACATGGATAATTATGACGAATCAGAAATGATGGTTTTCATTTTGAGATTAATTGAATATTATGGTTTGGGATAGTGAATTGGGGAGTGGGGTTTACTGATTAGATGTGAGGGTATAGTATAATGCCCCATACTAAGTTAATTCATGGTCTAACTAACAAAACTCGTCGGGCGTACGATAAGATAAGCGTACGCCTGGCATACGCTATTCTGAACCATATATATATATATGGTGGCGCCTATTGTACTTTGGATAAATGCTAGGATACGATATACCATGAGTAAAAAAATGCTATGTAGAAGTAAAGTAGAGACACGTTGATCGTCACGTACAAATCGTGTACGGGACAATGTTCCCCTACTCAATCCTTGATCTTAGTAATTAACCCACAGGATCATTTACGAAGCATTAACCAACGAGTAGAGATGTTGTAGAGTTCCTTCAAAACTACACATGATTGGGTCTCGAGATCCAGATTGGTTTATTACATATTTGTGATACGCTTTCACATAGATCAACATTACAATTAAGCACTTTTCCCCCATCTTCGTTCTAAAATTGAAACCATCGATTTAAACCTTTATTTCACCAAAAAAAACTCATGGCCTTGAGTTAAAACTTAATTCGTCCAAATGACCCCCCGCCCCTATCTAGCTAGCAAGTATTAGTGATTGTCCTTCTAAACTAATTACTGCTAAATCTAAGATCATAGAGTTTAACCCCAGCCAACGAAAAGATCCCGAAGTGCTTCTGATACTCATCCCCGCCCCTCTCGTTCTCATCAAACAGATCAAACATGTACACCTCCATCTCCTCCTTGGGCCGCTTCGGCGTCCCCACGCCGTTCACCGCCCGCCGCACCACGTTGTCGTTGTACGTGAGCGCGTTATCCACACCCGCCGCCTCCCCGCACGCCGTCGGCCACCCGGTCTCCGCCACTACCACTTCAATCCCTTCAAACCCTTCCCTCTCCATCGCGTGAACGAACGCGTCTATGCTCGCGTCGAGCAGATTGTCGTACATCAGCCCGCCGTCCCCGAACTCGCCGTCGGCCTTGAACAACGCGTACTCGAGCGGGATCCTATTGGAGTGCGACACGTACACCTCGTACGGGTAGAGGTTGACCATGAGCGGGGAGCCGGAGTCGCGGAGGAACTGGAGGAGAGGGATCATCGCGGGCTTGATGAGCGGGTCGAAGTGGGCCGAGGAAGGAGGGTAGGAGCCCGACATGACGGAGATGGGCTGCGGTGACGAGATCTTGATCCGGCCCGCCAGGCCCACGGACTGGAGGGCCCCGTGGAGGTTGGTGATGGCCGGGACGACGTAAGGGGTGTAGAAGGCGTCCCTGACGAAGGCCTCGGGCCCGACGGCGAGGTACCTGACCTGCGACGGCGGGATGTGGGAGAAGACGTTGGAGATTAGCCAGTCGACGGTGGAGTTGGCGGTGCCGGACGCGATGGACGGGAGGCTCTCGTTTGGGATGTCGATCATGAGGCTGATCCCGGTGCTGGCGAACGATCGGAGGGTGGCCGCGTCGGCGTCGAATAGGCGGACGTTTTGGATTCCGTTGGCCTGGAGGAGGCCGACCACCGCGGTGGGCGGTGGCAGGTTGTTGCCTACCCGGCCGTAGCACACTCCGACGGGCGCGCCATCTGACTAATTGTTAATTTTTAAAAGTTACAAATGGGATTGGCATTTAAAAATAAATTTCAAAATGCATGCATTTCAAATTCAAAATTTTAATATATTGTATACGTTTGAAATACACGTGCAATGAGACTTAAATTCGTGGATTAAAATAGGTGAAAAGACTAACCCGCAAAAGATTCCAAGTGAATGAAGAAGATGGAGAGTAATGAAATTATGTGGGAGAGGAACTGTATATACATTTTTTGATTCCACTTCTGAAGCGATAGTTAATTTAAGACCAACTGTTAATTTTTTTTAAGAGAATTGAGGCTATATAGAAAGGGATGGATTTGCTATGCTTAGGAGAGGTTGAAGAGTAGATTGGAAAAAAGTATATTGTTGCAGAGGGTATGATACACTTGTTTTCTAACTACATGGAGTAAAGTTGGTTAATTAGTTTGGTTGCCCCTTTTAGGATATTAATCATTAATATTTCTCCTCCCCATTCATTCACTAATAAAAAAAAATTCTAGGCACCATTTAGCAAATTACTACCGGGCCCCTTGGACGTGGTTGGATTCGAAAAGAAGAGTCCGCAGAGAAGCCCGTAAAGACTTATAAAAAAAGGGCTCAAATGTGGATGAACTGGCCCAATCTTTGGGCCCAAACTCTAATCCCTGATGGCGGAATTAGGGTTTTTAATATTCTTTCTCAGTTCTCCCAACTCCCGTTCCCGTACCTCCATCAGCCGCCGGTCTGAGAGGGAAATTGTCGAGTAAGGAAAAAGGAAGGAGAAGCGATTAAGCGAAGAAGAAGAAGAAGAAGAGTGAAAAATGCCGGCTGGGCACGGTCTTCGCTCCCGAACTCGGGATTCCTTCTCAAGGCCCTTCAGGAAGAGGGGTTACATCCCACTGACTACTTACCTGAGGACCTTCAAGGTCGGCGACCATGTCGACGTCAAGGTGAACGGCGCCATCCACAAGGGCATGCCGCACAAGTTCTACCACGGCCGCACCGGTCGTGTCTGGAACGTCACAAAGCGTGCCGTCGGCGTGGAAATGAACAAGCAGGTATTGCGATTGCTTATAAATGTTCATGTAGATTGATGATTACTAATAATTGGGTTGCTTGAAATCGATGGGATATTATGAGGGTTTTGATTCTGCTTTAGATCTGATGGGTTGTGGGTCTGTAAGACTGTACCTTGTTATTCACGATCCAGTCTTCATTTGCAACGGGGAATTGCAACGAGTGTTAGATGTTCGATATTCTGGCTACGTTCTGGAAAGGGCTAGCAAAAGTTGGAGCTTCGGCATATTAGCATGTCGAAGTCGATCCTTTTCTTTAATCTCACTTCATTCTTCTTATGGATCTTTGGATTCACTGCTGCATGGAGGTTTGAGGTTAAGAAAATGTATGCTTATGGCCTTTGCGTAAGTCATGTTTTAGTTCATCTGATAGCACCATTGCTTGAATGGCAATTGGTTAGTCGCCTATCCACTGTACAGTATTCCGAAACCTTATGGGGAATCAATCTTCAGTAATTGTTGAAGAATTTGGGTGCAGTAGACAACAGTGTTGTCATTTGCTTGTTACTTTTCTGCCTGTTTTTCGCCCATAATGGTGTCCATTTCATGGAGAGGTCTGGCTTTGCATAATTGTGTTTGGGATATGGAAAAATGATATCGCAAGTCTCTCAATTTGTAGGTTGGGAATAGGATCATCAGGAAGAGGATCCACGTGAGGATAGAGCACGTGCTGCCATCCAGGTGCACCGAGGAGCTACGCCTGAGGAAGAAGAAGAACGACGAACTCAAGGCCGAGGCGAAGGCGAAGGGTGAAGTCATCAGCACAAAGAGGCAACCAGAGGGGCCGAAGCCTGGCTTCATGGTTGAAGGCGCCACCTTGGAAACTGTTACTCCCATTCCCTATGATGTCACCAACGATCTCAAGGGCGGTTACTAGGTGTGTTATTATCTCCTTTAAGGGTTTCAGTTTGTGGGTTATGAGTTATGACTGTGAGACTGCTGCACACTCTGGGTTAAGCTCCACTGAATTTGGTTTCCGTAGCCACTATCGCAATTTCATTGAGATGATGTTTCTTAGTGTGTCTGTATGCAAGTTAGATATGTCCTTTTTGACACCTGAACAGATATCTGAGTTAAGAAGTGTTTGTGTATGCAATTAGTAGCTGGGAATGATTGGATGTGTTGGTCGTGTTAAAGGCAGAGAATAAGCAAATTAGAGCTGGAAAGTGGAAGGAATATGTTTGTGGGTTAACATTAGATGCCATTGATTAACTGGGGCAGTAGGTATCATAATATATGGATATGTGTCTGCCACTGCTGCGATGTACAAAGTGGGGGATTTGGCTCTTTAATATGCACAACCCTAAAAAACGAACACTAAAGTGGATCTTGATTCTTCCTTTTCGTATGGGTATTTGTTTCTTCTTCTTCTTTGGTAGACTAATTGCCACCTGCTGTCAAGACTGATGTAAATGGCAGCGGCTGTCACCTGTTATGGATGCTTCATTCCATCGCTCAAACTCTCAAACAGATTTGAGCTTTCCAATTTGGAAACAATGCTTCATACCTTCTCATTTGGATGGGTGTTGAACCAAAAGTTCACTAGAATTAGGTTGTAGTGCGACTGTCTGTTTCATTTTCCACTGTCAAGAAAAGGGCATTATTCCCACTGGTTTCTGCTAAATCTATGGTCCACCATCTAATTCTTTTTCCTAATTGTTATTTGGTAGTGGCACTCGCACCAAGTATGGGGAGAAAACGAGGGAAAGAAGTAATTAACGCAAAACTCAAGTGGCCAATCTAATCCAATCCATCATTATGACCATGAGTACAGAATTTTTAAACAATGATCACTTCCTTATAGCATACTTGTACGGTTGTACCCACTGCCAATCCTCTCCAAAATGTTCATCTTTCCATTTTCCTTGATCACAGAAGGAACCGCTTGCTCAAAGATATGTTACTTCTGTCCAGGGCTACGGATGAGCCAAGTTGTGAGTGGCTTCGTGTTCGGTTCGAGGGAAGCTTGTTTGACACTCGACTCGTTTAGTAACGATTCGAGTTTGAACTAAGTCTTATCCGGCTTGCAAAACTTGTGAGTCAGCTCGATTCAATGACTTCTTGAATACAACTCGGGAGCTAGCTCATTTTGAGCTATGAGTTAGTTTGACGGTATAGCTAACAAGCACCTCAACTAGCAAGTTAGGAACAAATTGATTACTAGCTTATCATTGGCTTGCTATTCATAAGTTAGTTAGATTTTAGGGTTAATATCCTAGTTTGGTCGAAGTTTAGCATGAGTGACAGTTATGGCCCCATTTTTCAAATAAAACATTTACGGCCTACTTTTGAAATTATTTGATAGATTTGATTCAGAACTTGTGTTGACTGTTAATACTAACGGTCAAACACTTATTCTATTAGTGACTAGCAAAAAAACTGCAAATTTGGTTATACATTGCTTTGTCATTAAATACTAATAATTTATTATTTTGTCCCCTAATTAATAATGAAAAATTAAAAAAAAATCCCCAAAGATGGATCCGCTCCACTTTCTCCTCTCTGTTTGGGGTCTAAATCCACTTCCTCCATTGCTTCTCGAAGTTCCAGACTCCAATTGGAGTAAACACTCGATCCTCCCCTGTCACCCCGACGGCGGTACCAACTCACAAAGTCACCGTCCATGAACGGATCCAGCTTCTCCACAGCGATCCCTTTCTCCCCGCCGTCGCTTCCTCCACCCGCCGCCGTCGACAACAAAGCGAAACTATTCTCAGCAGTCGTCGTTGATGTACCGCCCCTTGGTAACCCTGCCTCTTCCAACGAAATTTCTATCTCCACGGCAGCTTCTGCCGCAAACGCCGTCGCCGAACAAACCCTCGCCGTAAAAATTTGATGCTCGCTGGCCGCAATGGCGTAATAATAACGGTCAATACAAGTTTCGGACCAAATCTGTTCAACAATTTCAAAAGTAGCCAGTAAATGTCTTATTTAAAAAATGGAGCCAGAACTGTCACTCCCATTAAACTTTGGGCCAAACTAGGGTATTAACCCTAGATTTCATATCTCGCCATATTTGATGTTTAAGAATTCGAGCATGTGATATATCTCATTTATAATTTTAGAGAAATTATGTATCATAAATTGCTTAGAGACTATTTACTATTCAATAATATTATGTGAAAAAATAATAAGTTATGAACTAAATGATATTATATTGAGATTGAGCTGATTTGACGAGGTAATTGATGAGTCTAGCTCGAGTCCAGCTCAAGTTAAACACAATCTAAGAATTTCGTAAATAAGCTAAGTTGAACTAAAGTTGGATCAAAATACAGCTAGCTTCCTTAGTCCGAATGAGTTGAGACAGGTGGCGGCTGTTCATATCGGACCTGCTTCCCTTGAGGATTTATGGGCATGGAGGTTCATTGAGAAAGGTGATTTCACGGTTAAGTCAGCTTTTATCCACTTCCATAACAGCACTAGGCATCCCCATGGACAGGCTGAGGTACTGTCTGATATGAGCAAAAAACGTTGGAAATGGCTCTGGAGCCTCTCGATCCCGCCGAAATTGAAATTCTTTATTTGGAAGGTTGTCAGAGGGGCGCTGGCATCCAAGGAGAACCTCTTCGCCAGGAAATGCTCGCCGTCGAAAGCCTGCCCGATCTGCGGCTGCTCGTCAGAGACGATTTTCCACTGCCTCTTCGTTTGTCCACATGCTGCTGAAGGGTGGAACCAGGAATGGCCCAACCTGCCAAGGCCGACCCCATCTCCTCTATCCTGGAGTGGCTGGAGTCTATCCGCCAATTGTACCCGATCTGCTCAATTCAGAAGATTGTTTTCCTGATGTGGCAAACTTGGAAAGCAAGAAACGAGAAGATCTTCCGGGGAACTCCTCCTTGGCCACCATCCACCATCAGTAAAGCTGCAGCGGACCACCATCAATGGTCCACATGCCCTCGACCCCATCACAACGGGTCTCCTCCAACTCAGCCCACTCCACTCCCTGATCACTCTACACCATCGCCAGGTACTCATGTTTTTGAAGTACACTGTGACGGCTCGTTTTTCGACGAGCCCCAGAAGGCGGCATATGGCGTCATTGTCTCGAACAGCCATGGTCAAGTGTGCGACGGGAAGGCTGAGCTCATGCATTGTTTTTCCCCTGTTGAAGCAGAAGCCGTGGCCTTGCTTGAAGCCTCTCGAATGGCTGCCTCGCTTACAGCTCCTTGCCTAGTGAAGACTGACTGCCTGCAGCTGGTTCAGGCGATCGAGCGACCACCCAGAACGTGGCCATGGCGAGCGGCGGCGAGACTTGGAAAAATCAAGCTTGTCCTGGATTCCAACCCGCAGATCAATGTTAGGCACTTTTGTCGTAAGCTGAATTTGAAAGCGGATTGGGTTGCCAGATCCTGTGCAAAGAATCAGTTACCCCCACAATGGTTGCAGATCATTGATTTGGTTGCACCTTTGTTGTAATGATTTTCTGGTTGCTTCATATAATGGAAATTCATTGTGCTTTGTAAAAAAAAAAAAAATACAGCTAGACTCAGCCTTTTTGTAGCCTACTTTTGTCCAACTCCTTCCTTTCAGTCGATTCTTGACTCTTGTCTAGGTTTAAACTTTTGCTCATTTCATACAAATCATAAATTTCAACTGGGATTAAATCGTTCGGAACACTCAAAATACGATCGTAATTAGTGACTAATGTCATCAGCACCAAAAATATATTATATAAAAAAGAATTCTTTTGCATGTATGGGGTAGAATGTGATCCAAAGCCAGACCCAGATCTGCATTATGGTGGACATAAAAAGAAGGATCAGCCCCCAGATGGATTGGACATGACAGGAATCATTCTTTGAAAACGAAGCAAGGAATAAATTAAAGCTAGGTGACATAAACAGTACTAGCAGTAGCAGTAGTATGAGCAGCACTGCAGGCGCCTCTGCTGAAAGCCCTAATCCCCTGCCCACTATTCAACAGCAGCAGCAGTGGAGCCAGATCTCTATGTTGGGTTTTAGCTTTATGTGCAGCATATAAAAGAAAGCGTCAAAGATATTGAACGCTAATCCCAATGTTGAACTTGAACACACAGCTAAAGTTGGTCCCTAGCCCTGCATCTTGGACCGAAACACCATATCAGATGTTGGAAAAAGCACCATTGCCCACTCGCCCCCTCAAAATCCTTTTCAAGACGACACCTTTTGTGGTTATTGTTTGTGTTCCTCGATCTTCTTTTGTTTGTGCTTTTTATTTTTGTCTTCTTGTTGTTGTCTTTCACACTGATGATCAGGTACATCATCAGACCTCATGTCTAGCAGGGAGAGGCTAGCTCGTTCTTTCCTGAGTTGCTTTTGCAGCAGCTACTGAATCGATCAAACCAACAACTACTGGAAAAAGTAAAAGGGCAAATGCTTCATTTGTGTCTGTGGTAAATCGCCAGTCGCGCCACGCAGTCGTGATTCGGGTCTGGTTCGTGTATGCACCGGGCGGGCTAATGTATTTGATGTTTGTCATTCAAGGCATGTTTTGGATGGATGAGATGAGATTACATGGTCGGACGCATCTAACAAAATCAGCTCACGCGCAACACTCAACAGTGTCAAACCATTGAAACTGAGAGATGAGCAAGAATGGGTTTCAATAATCTGCAAGGTTGGAATCAGACTGATGTCAATGATTGGTCTAAGAATATCGTATCGAGCACCAAACAAGTGATGCTTCTTTCCCTTCTTCTTCCTTTTGAGTATTACAGTATAGTTTAGTTGTGCAAGCAAGCAAGCAAAGCAAAGTCTCCAAAATCTTGCTTTCTCGTATTACCAAGCTGAAAGCAGAGAAAGATGGAATAGAAGTGCCCCATCTCGATGGTTAAAGAAAGAACCCATTACCCACTCATCATCAACAGAATATCTTTAGTTGTCTGCTTCTCTTTAATAAAGCCATCAAACTTCCCCCTTTATTGAAAATTTAAACATCCCCCACTCCAAATTTCAAAAAAAGAAAAGGAAAAAACACAAACACAAACACATCCTCCTCCATCATTGTGCCAAAACCCCATTTATAGGCAACCTCTTTGTCTCTCTTCTCTTCTCCCTCACCTTACTTGCTTCACCACTTCACTCAAAGAACCTCTCCCAGTACTTAAAACCGACCCACCAACCCCAAAATCTCAAAGAAAAGAAACAAAAATGGCAACCCTTCCACAGCAGCCATATGCAGAACAGCAGCAGCAGCAGCAGTCGCCTGTCCTCGTGTACCCAGACACGGCCGCCGCGAGAGGCCCGCCAGCGGAATCCCACTCGAATAACGGTTCGTTCGGGTCGGTGTTCATCGTGCTGGCGGTGATCATCGTGGTGTCGGCGGTGGCGTGCTGCCTGGGGCGGGTGTGCAGCAAGAGCAAGCATGGCGGTGGCGGCGGCGGGAAAGAGCATAAACAGGGGAAGAAGCAGAACAAGGACAAGAAGAACAGCAGCAAGGGGAAGCCCCAGAATTCCAAGGTGGGCCAGAGCGATGACATCGAATTTGGGTTCGACAAAGGTGGTGGTGGTGGGTTTCCTCCCATGGGCCGGCGGGAAGGGCCCAGTGGGCCTCATTTTAAGCAGCCTCAGCCTGCTGCTGCTGCTGCGGACGGCAATCACAACGCGCCGTATTTCCCTTACGGGCCCCCTCCCCCGCCGCCGCCGGCGAATCATAATGTTCACCGCGGCGGTGTGAATGGGATGCTGATGATGAACGGCGGTGGGCATCAGCAGAAGAAGGGGCACGGCGGCGGCGGTGGTAACCATAACCCTCATTTCAAAGGTGATGGGCACTATCCCACCATGGAGTTTCATGACGGCGAGCCTCCTAGGCGTTAATTAATTTCGATGAAAGGGTTCCCGATGGCGATGGGATTACTACTAATATATGGAAAATTGGGGTTTCATTGTTCTTGGTTGCGTCTTTCATTTTTAGCTTTTGAGGTTTTTTTTTTGTTCTTCTTTTTTCTGTTCGGGTATTATCATTGAGCAGTCTCTTTAGTAGTAGCTTGAAATGTATCATTACAAACGCAGAAAATGGTTACTTTAATGGCAAGGGTCTCACCACCTTACTTGAACTTTTTTATTTATTGAGGGATGACAAAAGTGAGGTTGCTAACTAGTTGAGCGGTTTAAGAGCGAGCGGCTCGTCGTTCGATTCGAGGAAAAATTGTTCGGTTAGAGGAAGAAAAAAAATTGATTTATTTTTTTAACGAGCCGAGTTTTAGCTGAGCCTTGTTTGACTCGTGAGACTTGTTGGCTTCATGGCTCGTTGAGTTCAACTCGTGAACTGTCTTGTTTTGAGCTAATGAGATATCTTCACATCGAGACAAGCAATTCCCAACTCGACTACCTGACTTATGAGAAAATCGGTCTCTATCTGATGAGTTGGTTCGCTGATAATTCATAGTTTTTAAAATTGTATATATCACTCCATAGGCTAATTAAGACTATGAGAATAAATATGTCTCCTTTATAATCTAAAGATAAATTATGTATTATAGATTGCTTAGATACTAATTACTATAAATTTCATTATATGACATAAATAAAATTTATGAGCTAATTAATGTGATACCAACAAAGTGTATAAACACGAGATCAGTTAATTACATGCATCATACATGACCTACGAATATGGGAGTCCCTACGAATATTAGAGTATTTAATTTGTAAATTATCTTGGAGTTCAGTTTAAGGATCAAACATTTTGGAATAAATGAGTTGAGCTCAACCTGAACTTATGATCTTAATGATGAGCCAATGTTTAATAAATGAACCGGTTTGACTATGAACTCCTATTAATATGCCACGCGATGGGCAGTATTGTTAGTAGAGGGTGTAAACACCACCTCTTTCTGACTCTGAGTCCTCTCTCGACCTCTCACTAGTGGAGCCTACAGTTGAACAATAATGTATTTGGCACATATAGCCGCAAATGAGGAGCACTTCTACTATGCTATATAGTATTGGTGCTTTAATGTACAACTTAAAGTTGTACCATAACATTAAATGTATAAGTTTAGGTTGTACCATAAAGCAATTTGTACCCTTATGTTATGGTATAACTTTACAACTTGAAGTTGTACCATCACATAAAGGTACAAGTTCAAGTTGTACCATAAAAGAATTTGTACCAAAAGTATAGGTACAATATGAAGTTGTACCATAACGTAAATGTACAATTTTAAGTTGTACCATAAAGGCAAAAACCTATAGCACCAATACTATATAGCATTGTAAAATTTCTCGCAAATGAGATGTGCAACACAATAGGAGTAGTTTCTTTCAGCGGAGGTGGTCTATCCCCATTAACAATCAATTAACAATTAATTGATTTCTTTTACATTTATTCGTTTATTTATGTTTCTAGGCATACTAATAAGATTGTCCATCGCATGGCATAAATGACCCTTGCATCGGTAGCAACCCTTTTGATTGACTACCGCTCTTTCATTTCCAACGTACTGTAATATCTTATCTATTACAAACTATTCATGACAAAAAAAAAACGAACCGGTTTGAAATTGATTCGACTCAACTCGTTGATAAATTAACCCAATATAAACAAAACGAAATTCGACCTTGACTCGATTCTTTAGCAGGCCTAATAAGAACCTTTCTGATCTACCAGTCCACTCAATTCGGAGGTGGGTTTTATCTGACTGGTCCCTCTATAAAGGGTTTCGGCCCAACCCGTACAGGATTCATACCATATTCATTGTCCTTCGACTTTCATACGGCCATGTACCACCATTCTAAAAACTTTCTACTCATGTTCAAAGACTTGCTCTTTCCGCTTCTCTATATAATTTTATTACTAGTTAATGAGTCATCGATAAACCATCTGGATTGGACAATTTGAGCATTAGGTTACTTGATTTGTTTCTTTGCTAGATGTTTATAAATTATTATGGCAAGTTGGTTCAGTAAGTACTAAGTAGTGTGATTATACCTATGATACTATCACTAATAAGCCAAAAATGGGTATGTGCCATCAAATGTCGATCGATCTACACTAGGGGTGTAAGTTTGACCCTTAAAACCCACTGACCCGTCCCGGTCCGCCCCGACCCTCAGGGTCGGGCTGGGTCAGTTTGTCTATAGGGTCAATTTAGGGTCGGGTCGGCTTAGGGTCGGGTCAGGGTCAGATAGGGTCGGGTCACTTTTTAACCCTATGACCCTTAGCATCATACAAACATGTTGAACCTATTTGTAAAATTTTATAAGTTTAGGTACTAAATTGAAAAAATTAAAAAATTAGGGTACCAAAACGTAATTTTACCATAAAATTTTAGGGACTTATTTGTAAAAAAAATAACTTTTAGGTACTAAAATGTAAGGAAAAATAAATTCGGATACCAAAATGTAATTTTTAGAAAAGTAGTCTATTTATTAGGGTCGACCCACTGACCCGACCCTTCCTGACCCGCCCCGTCCCTAAAGGGTCGACAGGGTCATGAAAGAAACAGGGTTGGGGCGGGTCAGTTATACATCTTGACCCTTCAGGGGCGGTCAGACAGGGTCAGGACAGGATCAGGGACGGGTCGGGCCAATTTTCAGCCCTAATCTACACATATATATGTGTTTGGACTTAAGAAGACCATGTGACACAAAACAATGCTCAAAGTGCAAGATCACGATTCAAGCAAGTCCACAAAATTTGGGGATATCCAACAAAGTAAGGACAATCATAGGAAACATAATACGGGGAAAAGAAGAAGGAAAACAACTTCTCTTAAATGGAAATCATAAGGATAACTATCAAGTAATGCTTATGCTATACTCTAAAAGCACTTCCTTGTGAAGAAGCAGATTGTATCCTTAGGTGTGTAGAAATGGTCTTTCTTGATGACCAAGGATTAGCCCTAGCACGGCTCTCCTTTAAGCAGCTGCTGAACTTGTCACACAAGGAATGCAATGCACACCTCTTCGTGATTGTTTGAGCCCAAATTGGATTGTAGATCATGATCATTAGTGAGGCTTGGTGTTGCTTCTTGAGCTTACTTTTGTCTCATGGGCATGTGAATTGAGCCCGAATCCTTGAAATTAAAGTGTTACATGATTATTTCGATTTGTTCCGATTTATCCGACTTGTTTGACCTGTTTTGGAGCGGGTCTATGGGGTGGGGCAGACATGGGTATTCTTATCGACCCGACCTGCCATGACTCGCCCCGTTCTCGACCAATTCGTGCCTAAATTACATGTAATCTTAGTCAAATTACTTAGAATTTTTCTTAATTATACCATATTTTAGCTACTATAAAGTTGTGAATTAGTGAAAACTTCAATTTCTCCAATAACTTAACTACTACATTTTATCATATTATGATTTGTTTCTTGGTCTTTATAATGAAAATAACGAATATTTCTGATACTTTCCATATAAATTACATACACATTGGGTCGACCTGCCGCCCGACCCGCGCCCCGTGATAGATTACCAGACCTAGACCCGACCTACCATGGGGCGGGTATCTCGATACTCATACCGCCCCGGACCTGCCCATTGTCATTCCTACATCAGAAACACTTGTAGTTCATCCTTGGAACCTTTTAGTTTGACTCTGTGTGATTGGTTGGTCCTTGAATTAGATCGTAATTAGGTCCTTGGATCATTCTTGGAGTGCATGAGATTGATTGATAATTCCACTAATTAGTAATTACACAACATTAAGTAGTTGATTACCTTTTCAATAATCATGAGGTGTAGGTTTATTCTGAGTACTTTTTACAGTTATGGTGACGATGGTGAGGGACTGAGGACAATCGAGCGTCCTGTTATTCGTTTAGTTTCTGAAAAAGTCAGTCTGATAACCCCGATTTTGTGGTTTTCTTGGTACGCAAGCAGATTTCGCCCGCCCTGGCCCTGCCAAGCCAATCTCGTTACAGTAAGAAAGAGAAAAGCAACAAACACCAGAAGTAGTACTCGCCCAGTCGCCGCCCCCACTGATTTCCCTTTCGCTTCTTCCCCTCTGCTCTGTATCTGCATACCAGAGATATTCGCTGCTGCAACACCTTCTCTTTCTCTTCTTTCATTCCCCATCGGAGGAGGAGTGCCCATATCAGCAAACCCACAAGGGGGAGCAAAAAATGGCGGCAAGGTTGGACAGTGTGGTGGAGTTACTTCGGCCGCTCGTCTATTCCAGAGCTTGGGATTACTGTGTTGTTTGGAAGTTGACGAATGATCCTTCCAGGTAATTCTTAGTTCCACAATCCTTTCTTCAATTAACACTTTTCGTACTCACCAAGTGTTTGATGTTTGTTCTGTGTGAAAAAAAGGGTTGTGGAATGGATGGGCTGTTGCTGCAGCGGCGCGAAGATGGGTTCCGTCGATCCTGCTGATAGCGTCGTCAAGCAGGAGATTGGAGCAGAGGTAATGGGCACTCGTAATTTTTGGGGTCCGCTCTGTAGAGATGTTCACTTGAAGCATCGGATTAGCACAACGGCTTGTCAAGCTCTTGCTCGCTTGCCTTCTTTCATGCCTTTGTATTCTGGGTAAGTGATATTCTGAAACTTGTACTCGTGGAAAATATTGTTGTTCGGCACATAAGCGTGCTGTGAGTGATTTTGTTTATTGGGACTGGTCCAGGATTCATGGAGAGGTTGCCATTTCAAGTCGATCAAGGTGGCTTCACCACGCCGGCAATGTCGCTGATTCTGAGTGTCATTCTGTGAGGGTTGGTTCCTTTCTCAATTTTGTTTTACTTGTTCGAATTGAATATGCAGTTGAAATGCTAAAAATATCCCAAATGTGGCAGGAATCATCTGGGACTCAAGTTTTGATCCCGGTGCTCGGCGGGCTTGTTGAGCTTTTTGCAGCCAAGCATGTAAGGATGGATGATCTCTGAATTCTCATGCTCACTTCTCGGTTACTCTCGTGACTAATACAACTGAGCAATCTATCCTCTAGTCATTGATGCGCTCCTCTGTCCATCTTAATCAGGTGCCTGAAGATAAGAAGATTGTCGACTTGATTATGACTCATTGTAACATGCTTCTTCTTGAGACTCTCAAGGAGAATGATCTCAACCCCTTGCTCCAAAACGAGTTCCACGATCTGTTGTCTCCCTTCCACATGTTCAGTCTCATTCCCGAGATACAGCTTCTTCCTCCCACATTGCCGCGGCAGCTATCCACTGCCAGTAACGGCTTTGAAGGATCATCAAGCACTTGCAGGCCTTCAAATGGTTATCCATTGTTGGATCTGTGTTATAGTCCATTTTCTGTACAAAATGTAGGATCAGGTAGCTCAACTGAATCCAAGTACCAGGAGAGCTTCCTGAAGAAACAAGCCCCCACTCCAAGGGTGGTTTCACAGGGTAAGCAGAAATTGGACAGAAACACGAACAAATCCAAGAATCTTACGTCGGAGAGGAACAGGAGGAACAGGATACAAGAACGGATGCTCTCCCTACGTGCCTTGGTCCCCAAGATTACAAAGGTTGTGAAGACTACTACTACCTCTTCCCAATTTTCATGTGCTTTCTCTTCTTTTTCTACTTTTCTTTTCTGCTTGAACTTCAATATCATGACATGAATGGTTTTTGGTGTAATGCTGCACATCTTCAGATGGACAAAGTTTCAATAATTGGAGATGCAATCGAGTACATTATTGAGTTGCAGAACGAGAAACAGAGACTCCTAGAGGAGCTTCAACAGATTGAAAATGAGCAAGGCAAGGAGGTCGACGTGAAACAGGAATTAGGTGATGACGACCTACCCGTTGCTGCTAAAACTAGAAGGATTGAGGTAATGGAAAACGAAAACTAATCATTAAAAACAAAGCAAGACTTTTATATTGTGGAGTGGCATGTGAAATGAGACTCGTTGTTTTAATTCGCCAGGCTCAACTAGACGTGACCCGCATTAACAAAAACGAGTACTTGATCAAGCTCTTGTACCACCAGAAGAATGGCGGATTCGTGAAGCTGATGGAGACTTTGAGCTCTCTAGGTCTTCAAGTTGTAGATGCCAACATTACCAACTTTGATGGCCAAGCTCTAAACATTCTCCGGGTTGAGGTACCACTCAGACTTTTGTGTTCTGTGGGAAGTTAACTAGAACAGGATCTAATCGGTCCTTTTGTCTCTGTCAGGGAAACAAGGAAATCCCAGAGATGAAACTGAAAGACACGTTGGTGAAGCTAGTATGAGAAGTACGTATTTCAGGAAGCACATGGAAGAAGATAGAAGAAGCGAGGAAGGACCTTCTTTCCCCCCCTCCTTATATATGCAGCTTTTGGCCTCTTCGCTGGCGAACTTAAGTGTAGCCTGACAATGATTGCGGAGAGAAAAAAAATCTCATCGATGACGTGGGTTACAAGTACTGACATTGAGTTCCTTTTGTTTACCTGAACTTCAGTTTCTTGAAATCCTAAGTACGATGTAAATTCAAAGGGTTTCTTCTTTACATGGCAGAGCGTACAATGAGGAAGAAGAAGCAAAAACCGTTAACCATATAGCAGAGGTGTTCAGGTTAATCCGAGGTTTGATATCGATCCACTCGCAAATAGCTTAACATGCGGTGGGTTGGTGATATATGTAGGCGGGTGACCCGCACGATATTTTCACATAATCAAATGACTCGTGCCTAATTACACCTATCCCGATCAAAGACGAAGTGCAACATCTAACCAAGTGTAGTATAGAGCAACTATTTCGTAATATCAACTGCCGTGGTTTATCTATTCCTACTTCAATGAACTATACGTTATCTAGCGATCTGATTGTTGTTTTAACTACGACTCTAAACAAGCATGCAAGTAAATTGAGATAAAATTTAATTGAGGAAACATCACTCGGATGTGTTTCCTCTCGGTACATGCCGAATTAACGTTGTGACACCCTAGCATAATTCACACTTCGCATATACCATGGGGAGCTCTAATTTAGATAAGACTCCACATTCGAGTTATTCTACCCGGCTCAATTGCGCTACCCGGAGAGGCCTACCAAATAACCGACCTAGACAATTGAGCCAATCAAAACTACTCCCACAATTTGGTAAAAACCCGATACAACACAAGGAATCTAATCACACTTGTTCATAGACTCCAAGTATTGAATTGACAATGCTCTAGATCAACATTAAGGAGATATTCTCTCACCTAGATCAATTAGCCCCAAATAGAGGGAAGTTATCAATTTGGATGAATAATACTCAAATCAATATATAATCAAGATGCAAATCAAGGAATAGGGTTCACAAACAATCAATTACAACATAATAGACTAGGGTTCTACAATACCCAAGTGAATTGGAGGACTACTCTATGGTTAGATTGACAAAAACAACCAAAGTGGAAAAGACAATCATCATGATGAGAAGATCCTGCTCCTTGGCTGCTTGTTGTGTTCTTGAAGATGGAATCAATCCTCCTATGGTGGCGGGTGGCTCTAATTGACCTTCAACCCTCCTTGCTTGTTACTTTCTTTCTCTAGCATAGAAGAACACCTCCGATTTCTCTATAAAAAAGCCAAACCCCTTAAAATATGATTTTTCCTCTCTTTTACACTCCGTAGTGAAGAGTTCACGGTTGACAATCACGCCCATGAACTTCGCAACAATATCGTGATGCAGACTGAAAACGCACATCATGGTCTGGTCAAAATCTTCACGCCTTGAGACCGCGAAGTCTGCAACTAGCCGTGAGTCGTCCTGGTCTTCCAGGGAACATGCAACGTTCAATTTCCATCATCTTTGACTGTTTTCACCATTTGGTCCCATTTTGTCTAATTTCCACCCGACTTTCGACCCTTTTGCCAATTTCACCTGTTAGAGCCTAAACACACTAAAAAATAACAAAACCTAGTGTAAAATGACTCCAAGGACGATGGTACACAAGTCAAACGACAAAAGGAAAGGGGTATAGATTGGCTCGAATCACATACTACACACACCATCGACTTATGAAGATAGAGAATAAATCATAGGAATAATACAACTACAACACCCGAACTATAAAAAATATCACTTATTCCTATTTATTCAATATGACAATCACAACACACATATGAGATATTTGAGACATTTGTATCCTCTCGCTTTTGTTGACCGTTAGAGACAATGGTTGACTTGAGGTGGTCAAAAGGATACTAAATTTTGATGACGTGACGGTCAGGTAGACCCTATGTCATTGACATATATGATTATTTTTAATATATAATTATATTAAGGATTCGACTCGTATGGTCCAGACGCATAGCATGCTCCAGGTGCTTTGCACCGTAGATCTAATCTAACGGCCATTATAAATTTTGTTAAAATTAATAATTATAATTACCACTTGCACCTTTTAAATAATTATACCTGCTATAAAGTCCCCCCACAAAAATTACCGTTATGTTTTCGCGTATGGTACAATATTTCGTAAACTTTTTTAATTGAACACCCAAAAATCTATAATTGATAAAAAAAAGAGGTCAATTAAAATTTGCTCCAAGTAATGGATCGTCATCATCTCACATTCCAATTGAACCTCCATCGTCATCATCTGTTCATCATAACTGCCGCAATAGCTAACCACATCATCATCAAAACCAAACAACAATCAAAACCTAAACCCCAAACACCGCCATCTCCATCGATTTCGTCTTGGCCGTCAACCCTTCCCCATCTGTGGCCGTGTCTCCGCACCGCCATCTCCATCGATTTCGTCGTTGTCGTCAACCCTTCCCCCAGTTCTCCAGCCCTTTCCCCAGCTTCCCCATGTGTGTTTGCGTCTTCGCACCGCCATCTCCGTCGATGGCAGGGATAGCGATGAGAATGAGAAAGAATAGAATTATAGACGATGGGCGAAGTCTGGGGAATTTTGATGGTGTTCAAGGAAGAGAGGAAAGGGATCGTCAAATGAAATTGGGGCTGGATAAATAACAGGGAAAGAAACACAAAAGTGAAAGGTGTTTTGTGTAATGCAAGAGATAATATAAAAGGATATGTAAATTTTTGGGTGTTTAAATCATGATTGGAAGATATTAGGTATGGTATTATAAAAAGATATGAAAATTACTTATGAGGATTAAAGAGCACGTTTATAAATATAAAGGGTCCAATTAGTCATATTTAAATCATAATTAATAAATCAGTTAATTATTATTAATATTAGCCGTTAGATCAGATCAACGGTGTAAGAAGACTGGAGCATGCTATGCGTCTGGACCATACGAGTGTTACCCTTATATTAATTTTAAAATAACAAAAAAAACAAGATATTGGCTCGCTCACTTGCGCTTTGCGGCAAATTGAAGGTAACACTATAACTGCGTTGTATGAAATATTTAACAAAATATAACTCATAAGGCAATTGCAAAAGGAGCAAGAAAAATCACAAAAATGTTGTGAGAGGACTCCAGAGCAATTTGCACTCTCTAACCAATGAGTCTATGGATCAAAGGAAGACGATCTACACACTATTTATGAAGAAGTATTTGTTTGATTTGGAGCGTGACAACTATTAATTAGAGAAATTGCCAATGAATTATGCGTCTATTTTAGTCCAATAAACAAAAAGATAAACTTAGAAGTCACCTTGGATTGTCAGCTTAGAAGTTACCTTGGATTGTCATATTGAATAAAATAGGACACAAGTGACATTTTTTTATAGTTCGCGTGTTGTAGAGGTATTAGCCCTAAATAAATTTCTGGACTACAATTATTGGTTACTACATTGTGTAATATCTAGTAGATATTGGGATGGAAATTATAACTATTAACTGTATGAAAGTCACAAAATGCGTCAACTTTCTCTACACAGTTGGTTGATTGATTAATAATTTTTTATGCAAATACTACTCTAATACATAAGAGACAAATTGAGAAGTGTCTTAATTGATACAATATTACTAATTTGCGAGTAAGTTGTTATAGATGTTAATCAACTTTCTTACCGGCTAGTTGGAGAATATTATTTTTGTGGGTTAACCCACAACCCAACTGCACATATCGCCACCCAACCTAGCCAACCCGAAAAAGGATGTAAGTGAATAATGGGTCAAAATTTTATGTACTTACTAGTAAGTGGGTGGGTCAATTTGAGATAAAATCACACTCATCCACCCATTCACCACCCCTACCATATAATAAAATATAGGGTTGAGTGCTTGGATTCAATAAGACATGACCATTGTATTTTGTTTCCTTGGGTTTTAAGTTTTGACTTCGCAATCATCCTATAATAGATAGGTAGACGATCACGAGAAAATTGCATTTTGCCGAAAAATTACATTTCCACAAGCTTTTCACTGAGTTACACCCTCACTTCCTTGATCTATACATCATGAAACTCGAGATTTCATGGAGAGCAAAAGAGTTGGAGGGGAAGGAGGGAAGGAGGGAGGAAGGGAATGGAGTAAAGAACATTGATGTTTGGGGGAGAACATATGTAGTTTATGGGTGTGAAATTTTCAAGCACTTGATTAACATTTTATCCTTTTCCGCTTCTTGTTACTAGAATGAATGATAAGGGGGGGTATCTTCTTCTACCAATTTCTTGATGAGGGTCTATTAATGGCTCGAGTTTCCAACTCCCCGCTGCTGGAGTAATCCCCAGTGGAATTGGTTGTTGGTACTCCGTGAGACATCTCTCTTGTGGTGAAATCTCCGGTACTGTAGCCAAACTCCCCGCTGTCATCTGAACCTAGTGCCATCCTCCTGAACTTCATTATCTCTTCGTTGTACTGGCCAGAGTTGTACATTGTGCTTTGTCCATACTTCATCCCGTTGGTGAGGTCTCCTGTTTCATCGCTGTCTAATGCTCTCACTACCTGCATCATTCTTGGCCTCTTGGGAGCAGAGTGGCGGATACAAGCAGCCGCCGTCTCGATCATCCTCATCATTTCTGCTTCCACGTATCGCTTCTCTAGTCGAGGATCGACTAGCTCACCAAGATCTCCCGTTTCCATGGCATGCATAAGGTGAGGACGAGCCTGTCCCAACATATAAAAAATGGCCAATGAATACATCATTATGCACGGAGAGATAGAAGAAAAGAAAAGGAAGAAATAAAAAACAATCATCAAGGCTTTCAATTACCCATTCAACCAGGCTTTCATCCCCAAGGGGACGACTTGAATCTACAGGCTTCCGCCCAGTTATAAGCTCTAGAAGAACAACCCCAAACGAGTACACATCGGATCTATCAGTTAGCTTCCCACTTTGAGCATACTCTGGAGCCAGGTACCTTCAAAGAAACACCACTAATTGTTGTTGGTTCATCACTTTTCATTAATTAGAACATCATGAAGCATAGTTAAGAGAGTATATAAGTAGTTTCTGAGATTAACCAAAACTCACCCAAATGTTCCCATCACACGAGTTGAAACATGTGTTTGAGTAGTATCATTTAGTCTGGCAAGACCAAAATCTGCAACCTGAAATTTTTTTAAACTTTTATTGGAAAGCAATTAGCTAGGAATGGAAGTAGCTATTAATAAAGAAAGGAAAGGGAGGGGGATTGCAAGATTTAACTTGCCTGTGCCTCAAAATCACTACCCAATAAAATGTTTGCTGACTTGATGTCTCTATGAATGATTTTTGGGTTGCCTGCACAAAGGAAGAAAAAAAGTTAATGTGTCTTCATGAACAGTACATAATAAATCGAGTGTACGTACAATCTTCATGCAAGTAAGCCAATCCCTTAGCTGCCCCTATGGCAATTTTCAGTCTTTGAGACCAATCCAACCCTGGCCCTTTTGCTGTTGCCAACAACAGCAAAACATCACAAACTCTCAGTCACAACCCAAAAAGATTCATATTATGGAAGCTTACCTATCTAGCTGCCATAGATAAATGAAGACCGACGAGTTAATAAACATTGATATATTACCATGCAAGTGATACTCAAGGGTGTTATTGGGAAGGAACTCGTAAATGAGCAGCCTTTGAGCATCTGACATGCTGTAACCAACCAAAGATACGAGGTGGCGATGGTGGACACGACTAATTATCTCAACCTCGGCCTTGAACTCTCGATCTCCTTGTCCACTCCCTGCCTTGAGCTGCTTCACGGCCACCATTTTCCCATCGGGCTGCCACCCTTTGAACACGCATCCAAATCCGCCTTCCCCTATAATGTTCTCACGAGAAAATCCACGCGTCATTTCCATCACCTCTTCGTAGCTGAAGAAGGACTTCCCCCCTCCGATGAGCCCTGAATCCGGGCCCGAGCTCATGCCTCTCTGGCTTCCTCCGCTAAACGCCCCTGAATTTTGTTGTGACGCATACGAGTGGTTCTGGCTAGAGTAACCCATTGAATGCGGACCACCTGCTTGTCCGTAATAGTATGGGTCTGCCGGAGCACGCAATTGCTTGGGTTAGAACATACTAATAATCAATCATCGATTATTACAAAAAAAAATTAATTACTAATTGTTACCAGATTGTTGCATTGCAGAGAAATTACTGGGAGGAGTCATGTAAGGAGGGTCATGACGTCTTTTTTTCTTCCTAGTAGCGATGATGACTGCGATAAGTGCGATGAGTATGACGCTGACCACAACTGTGCTTGCCACAATTATAGCTGTGGTAGCCGAATTCCCGTTCCCATTACTTGAGTTTCCAGAATTTCCTGTTGCTTTTGAATTCGAAGCCGAATCAATCGAACCATCTTGGGATGTCGAAGAGGCACTACTAGGCACATTTCCGCGAGTAGGGCTGGTTTCAGATGGTGGGGACCCGATTGCCGGGGGAGGATTGAATCCTCCTAAACTTAGCGGCACAGAAGGTGTCCCTGGCGGTGTTGGGGTAGCTGTTTGCGTCCTTGGGGCAGGAGAAGAACCGTCGCCGGAAGGTGTCTGGGGATTATTGGGTTTTCCTGTCGATGGTTGTTGGGGTGGTGATTTCCCACCACTTTGTGGAGATGGCTGGCCCGTTGACGAGGGAGGAGATTGGTTTCCTGAGTTAGAAGGAGGCGGGGGAGGAGCAGGGGTAGGAGAATTTTGCGACGCGGGAGGTGATTTTGCGGTCGATGACGATGAGGGTGGTGGAGGCGGTGGCGTTCCCGAGTCATCAGGAGCGTCCGCAGATCCTTGATTATTGCTAGAATTTGACCCTGACGGCGGCGGTGGTGATGGTGAACCATTGCTAGTTTCATTATTTGTTTTGTTATTAGCGGGAGGAGAGGCATTGGAACCTGAATCAGATCCTCCATCGCCTGAAGACGGAGACGTGGAGCCATCATCGGGTGGAGGAGGGGAAACGACTGTTGTAGTAGTATCTGAACCTTCCGTGGAATTATCATCCGCCTTGGAAACAACTGAGAAATTTTGTTCGAGACCCGGCAACTTCGCCGAGTTTGACATTTTATTTCCCCTCCGATTCCTCGTTGTATTCTTCCAATATTGCTCTTCCTCCGCCGTGTTCTCTTTTCCTCTGTTATATTTTCAGGAGAAAATTATCAAACAAGTAGAGTGCAAGAATTTCTCAATTCTCATTCACCAAGTTCATCATCCCTATACCAAAGGGCAATCGGAAACTTTACAGCCCAAAACAGAAGGGATGTTAGAAAATAGGAAGAAGAAAGAGATTTGTTTGTGGGTTTTCTGTTGATGGCGGTGATGGAATTCGTTTATGTTGTTTGATTCCCTCCCCCAAACCCTCTCTATTTCTTTCTACTACCTTTTTTCTTTGTTTTTTTTTTTTTGGATTTGTTCCTTCCAAGGTTCCCCCTTCCCTTCCCTTCCACAACTATGATTTGGGCGATTTCCAGATTTCCTAACTGCCGGCTCTTCTTCTTCTTCCTCCAATTCTCTATGAAATTTTCTATTACAGCCTCCCACCCTGGTTTCTCGGGTTACCGCGCAAATTTAAAATGGTTTAAGCTAATTGGCTGCTCTCATGGGTTTTGTTGTAGTTTGGATCCAATTATTTGTCACCTTACACCAATTTGTTCATGTATTTGCGGCGTTATTAGAACCGGTAACTTGATTACTAAACTTGTCAATCAATTGAAATAGTGAAAGTGTTTATCTTCTTGGACGATTAACAGTATACCGAATAGTTGTTAGTGAATAGAAGTTAAATGAATGATACAAGTTTGGTCCAAATGGCTTGATATTCAATATTTGTAACTTAAAAAATAATTCACAAAATAAAAAACCTGGCGGTAAAAATGTGACTAGGTTTATTTTACATGTATGATCAATTATGTAAATTATTTACCAATTGTTTTATAATGATAAATTTTGGATCATGAACCACTACCTTTTTTGATTCAATATTCGACATGTTTTTTTAATACAGAAGTTTTTGTTTGCACTCCTCAAACCATGAAGAATCTTTATATGATAAACAAATAAATTTCACATTTGAATGGCGCGAGATATGATGTGGACATTCAGGAGCGTAATCAGAAAATAAATTAAGATGAGTCCATTTACAAAATATAAATAAATTAATATTTGATTAAAATACTTTTCGGTAATCGGTAATTTTACTAAGCACTAGTTAGTCAACATACTAAGTCTCGAAAACACAACTCAAGGTCAAGTACAATTGCAACTGAAAATCACCCACTTCTACTTTCAACATTCACAAATTTAAACGAATCAATACTTTGAGAAAATTCTAGGTTGGAAAAACTATACAATCTAACTTCCTCAAGTATGAAGCTTATCAGACCGAAACTACTTCAAAATGAAGAGTCAAAAGATTTGTTGCATCTCTTCTTCCATATAACACCCATTGTCCAGTACCATATAGAGTGCATACTAGAGCTTTACTGTCACTTGACTTAGTTAGGTCACAAGCCATCTGTAAGCCTTCTTTTCATATGCTTGGACAATTATGTATATCACTTGCCAAAATAGTATCAACCAGGGTCGTACTAGCCCCATCACACGGAACACAATATTTGCTACTTTACCCATTTAAACAGTTAGTCTTGGTGTTAATTCAGTCCAATATTACCAACCACGAGAGAAATTTGTATCTCGGAATATAGAATTTTTTCCAAAGAAAATAATGCTAGTAGATAGTTGCTGCTTTTTTCCTCCAAGGCAAGCCCAGAAGGTACGGGACAAAGACTCGACTCAGTTACAAGGATGACTAAAAAAAAGAGGTAATCCGTAAGCAAGCGGATTCCTGATGAAAGAGCCTATTTAGCCACTACTGGGCAGCTATGTTAAAGCTTTGAGAAGCAAATGACATGACATTGACTCAAAAAATGAGAAAAAAGAGCAAACTTCCTCTAAGACAGCCCTTGCTCGAGAGTGAGAAGCGTTCTTTGCCATTGCGTGCTTGATAACCAGTTGAGCATCTCTAACCACCAAAAATTATGTTTTAAGCACCATCTCATAGCATCTCTAAGAGCTAGAAGCTCGACAATGTAAGCCTCCTTAATCCTTCATAACATTTTCCAAAAGCAAAGGATAATGTACTGTCCCTCGAGAAACCAACAAATTCGATTGAGCCTCCTTGATTTTTCTTCATGGCTCCGTCAAATTTGACCAGGATACCATTATTAGGGCATGTGGCATATGAATGACTCCTTCGATATCATGGTGGATTGTTAGGATGCACCGATGATCTATAGACACCTGTGGATTGCCGAGCATTTTGTCCCTCCACCGTTCGCCATTCCTCTATATGATGTTAGTTGTCGGAACAAAACTCGAGCTTGAAATAATACCAAAGCATAGGAAAACCGTATTGGCAATCTCGATCTTGGAGATGTGAGTAGCGCATAATAGATTTTTCATGTCAGATCTGGTTGGAAGGAGCGCATTGAGTTTTTACGATGTTCCAATCCAACTATAATCCATAACTCCTTTGCAATCCTACATTCAAAAGAGAAATGATTAATGCCCTCGGTTAGCTCACAACAAACAGGACACTCGCTAGAAGTAGCCCATTTTTGAATTTGCAGTATTCTGCTAACAGGAAGGAACCCCGATCTACCCTCCAAATGAAGAATTTCAGTTTTGTGGGCACTGGTACACTCCGTAAAGATTTCCAAAACTTTGTGGCCAAGTAGTCTGGTATATTATTATGAAATGAATTGATTTCATTTGTTAAAAGGTGCTACCTCGATAGTTGCTGCTTTAGTCATCAGTTCCTTATTTAGGTAACCAGAGCATGGAGCAAGAGCGAGAGCGAGAATGTGAGAGCGTCAATTTTGTAAGAATCTAATATTGAGAGCATGAACAGAGCGTCAATTTTGTAAAAATCTTAACAACTTGCTGCCACTGTAGATTATTATATGCTAACTCAGTTTTGACACTGATTTATACATGAAGAGAATGATGATGAGTTTTCAAGTTAGTTTTTCTTTTTATCATTCGGTGATTAGTTTGAATATTTTGCTTGCAGGAACGTCGCTTTTTAGCGTTGGAAAGTGAATTGGCAGAGATGGGAGGTCATGCAAAAGATGCGGCTTATTGGAGCAAGAAATAAGCAATTGCCCTATTTGGCCTGACCTTTGTAGTAATTATCGCGTCCATTCGGAACTAAACTCTCTCCCACCTCTATTGGGCACGACGACACGACGATGAATGGAAGGGAAGCAATTTAATCTTTTAATAACCAGATTTTATCATCGTGGATTCTATTGTTACTCCCTCACTTGGTGATGTGTTTGGATGATCTTAACTCTGTAATGATGTTGATGATGAGTTTAGGTACTAAGAGCATCTCCATCGGTTTGACTCTCCCCACTTTCATTCCTACGTGGCCCAAGTTTGCAATTTCATTTGCCCATTGCACCCATATGAGTGGCAATTGCAAAAATGGAAACTTTCATCTAGTGAAAGTGGGATTGCAAGCCACGGTGGAATTTGTGCTATAATTTTTTTTTCTTGTTTTGATTTCAATGCCCACTTTTGGCTGCATGTGCCATAGATTTAATTCTTATTGGCACCAATGTAGGTACAATGAAAGTAAAGTGAGTTGGCTTGCAAAAATTGTGTTGTGTCAAAAAAATCACAAATGCAATTGCAAATGCAATTGCACCAATGGAGATGCTCTAATAGATCATCTTTGACAACTAATTATCTTTCAATTTTCATGGGTCTGTTTCTGTCTGAATTTTTTTTTTTGTAAACTGTCTGAATGTTTAGCATGTGCTGAATGAGACGTATATAATAATATAATTATTAGTTAGGCTTTGTCTTGTTTCTGATGGTATGAGATTTAATAAGGAATGGGAGGATGATGCAAAATGGGGTAAATTGCAAGATTGGTCACTGAAAGTGTTAAAAAGTTCACGTTTGGTCACTAAAATTATTTTATTCCATTCGTGGTCACTAAAAGTGCTAAAATATTTATGTTTGGTCACTCTCCGTTAGTCTCCATCATCCTACGTTAACACCGTCAAGTTTTTGTTGACTTGGCTAACAGAAACGCTGATTCAAATTTAAACCCGCCACATCAGACCCTCTACACAGCCCAACCCAATTCAACTCCTAACCCAAACCAACTCAACCTGACCAGACCCCACCAACCTTCCCACCACCGCCGCCGCCTGCCACCATCACAACCTTGGCGCTACTCTCCTCCTTCTCCTCCTCTGTGACCTCCACTAGTCTCTTCCAAACCCTCATGTCGACTCCCCCACAAAGCTCAATGGCGGCCCTCGCCTAAATCTTCCCCCACAAAGATGAAGATCTAAGATTAAAACTTGGACGAGACTTTTTGCCGAGAACCATATCGATGACGGTTGCTCTCGCCCCTCTCCACCCTCCAATCCTCTGACAAAAAAGATGCCCTCTAATCCTCCGACCATCTGTATGCCCAATTCGAGGTCTTCCCCACTCGTTGTCTCACCTACTCATCTCCAGCGATTCGAGGGGCGGTAAGGCGGAGTCTTGATTCGATATTTTTCTCCGAATGGAATGTAGGTGATGGGTCAGCCTCAACAGAGAGGCAGAGGCACGCAGTGAGAGCAGAAGAACACCGTCGACGCTCTCCTTTATCTTGTCCTTCCTTCGATAAAAAAATCCCAAAGAATCAAAGTGGGAATAGAGGCGGCAGTTCATAGAGGAAGGAGAAACAAGGGTTAAGAAGAGAGGCTCGGGTTGGGTGGGGGTTGAATTGGGTTGGGTTATGTATTGGGTTATGATATGGCCGGTTAAAATTTGGCGAAGCAGAGTTTCTGTTAGCCACGTTAACAAAAAATTAACGGAGTTAACGGAGGTTGACGGAGACTAACGGAGAGTGATCAAACATGAACTTTTTATCACTTTGAGTGACTACAAATGGAATAAATACTTTTAGTGACCAAACCTAAACTTATTAGCACTTTAAGTGACCAACCTTGCAATTTACCCATGCGAAATGTTAGCGGCGGAGAGACAAATGACGACGCCGACGGGAAGTCGTCTGGTGGAGGTTGCTTCTTCCGGAGATTGAAGACCCATTCGGGTGGTACTATACTGAGTACTTCCGGCGCTAGAGTTTCTGATGAAAATCTCGAGCTACGGTGACGGACATGGGCGCCAGCGGTTGATGCTCTAAAACACAACACCTAACAATGGCCAAGTGTAACCAATGAAAGGGACTGCAGTATAGTGGCATAAGTAATAAATATCGAATCCACGGGTCTCTAGAGTTACCATTACTCAGCTTCAGTTCATTATCTAGCAAACTAGATTAAGGATTGATTAACTAAACTACTCTAAACTACTCTACTAACTAAACTAAGTAAAACTACTAATTACAGTTTGGGAACTCACTTAGGTATGATTCCCCCTAGCTCCTCAATTAGGTCCAAGTTGTAATTCCTTTTGGTTGTTTTACTGTTGATTAAACTGCGGAAGATCCGACAGTAGCTTGGAATCTCTTAAGCTGACCAAACCCTCTCAGTCGAACTATCCGGCAGACGACTAGTCTTCACCGGGATAGAAAGCTGAAGCAATAAGCACAGAACTCCACTACTGGAATTGGATTCCAGTACAAAGCAGTAAACTGGCTAACTCTCGTATAGCCAATCTCCTACTACCGAATGATGAGACTTTAGCAACCTAATCAGATTCTATCTATCTCAGATTGCAGCAGGAATCAGGAAAAGTTGATCAGACTTCAATTGACTCAATAAACATGCATCATTCGATTATAATCAAACAATAAAGCATCCAAAACTTCATACAAGAAAGATCCTAACTCATGGAACTAGGGTTCCTCAAAACCTAAGTGAAAGGAAGTTACTCC